CCCCCCCCCTCACTCTCCAGGACTGCCTTCACACACACATCCTGGTTCTGTGATGAGAGAAATGTGGAGGTAAAGTAACCGTGGGAACCTGCTGCATAGAACACATCCACGGCAGTCGGATGGAACCTGAACACTGTGTGGATCATGTCTACGGGGACATCAACCACCAGTTTTTTTATGTTCTATGCAAATCTGATTTCGTAAATAGAGCGGTGCAGGAACGAGTCCTAAAACCTGGAAATGAGTCAGTCAGCATTTTACCACTTTTTCATCGTAGTAGTTCGAAGGCTGAAATGAAGTCTGTGGTTAACACAAACTGAAGAGACTTTCACGTTTAGTTCTACAAAATAAAATATGTCAGTAAATTCTCCACTCATGAACGCTCGAAGCCTCTGTGTGTCATAAAAACAGTGAAGTGTCTAAATAAGTCTACCAAACATCAACACGCCGACGATTAGCCGCCTTTAGCTTAGCGACGGTGATGCACAGCCATGTGACGGTGATGTAGTTAGGTTTTAGCCTACAGTTAGCTTACTTCTGGTGATTGCATTTACGACTAAAACATTACAAAGTGGTGTTCAAATGTGAAGATTATCCTGCTAAACAAAACATGTAAGTTTCATAAACGTTTTTGCCATTTTCTGCAATGTACTGAAATCCAATGGAAAGATCCCAGAGCTTTTGGTTGAGGGAGCTCTTGTGATGCTACTCTTCCGGGTCAGGCTACAAATGTGTCATCACTGCGCCACTCTATTTGACCATACTGTAAGACTGAAAAACAAGAGACTGGTGCCCGTGGAAAGGCACTCCACGTGTCACACACTGTCTATCAGAAATTGAGCTAAAAGAAGCCAAACGTTTAAAGGGAAGAGGCACAGTGCCAGGCCGAGGAGGTCAATGCAAGCCCTGATGAGGTCTATTGAGTGAACTAAGGAGCAGAAGAGGACGATGGCAGTGAACAAAAATGTATGTCAAATGAGTAAAAGAAGATACATGTGTTGAAATGGGAGAATGAAAAAGTGAAGGGAACGAGAAAGAGAGAGGAAGAGACAGAGTTTAGAACACTAGGCTGAACAGATAAAGGAGAGAGGACACAATCAGTAGCGTCGCTCTGACAGACAGGACCCTCTTCATTCTACTTCTGCTTTGTTCATTAAACAAGCTCATTTACATGAAGTGTGCTAAATACTTTATATAGCATTTCAACATTAAGTCCTAAGCAGCAATGCAGCAAGGTATACTGTATAGGGAAGAGGATTAGGGCCACGTGAATTGTTTTTTAGATCCAAACAAAAGTGAGTTTTTATTAGCTCTGAGATTAAAGCCAGAATTCTGAGAAAAAGTCAGAATTCTGAAATTAAATTCAAAATTCAGGGAAAAAAGTCAAATAAAAGTCAACATTTTTCCGAATTTTACTCCAACCAGAATGAAAAAAACGAAAGGAAAATTGTCAGACCTCAAAAGTGGCCCAACCCCTCTTCTGTAGGTTTATCAGTCATCAATCACACCCCTCCTCAGAAACTAGAGCACACTAACAAGAGTGGAACAAGAGTGGAGCTTCTGTTCGTCCTGGACAGAACTAACAGAAGCATTTGTCACTCATTTCTCATCACAAGCACCTTGATGAGTTTCCCTGCACACTAGTGCCCTAGTTTCTCAGGGGCACTAATGTTCAACCACTAATGTTCTGGTTAACATTAGTGGTTGAGCTTAAAGGACGACTCACCTGGTAACCTTCAAACATACAATTATGTTTTTCTGAAATGAACAGGTATTCCAAAACTATGAATATTGAGTAATCTTCTTTTAGTTCATTAATGTAAATGGGATCATTTTGGCTAAACCCGTAGTATTTAATACATTCCACGCGAGTCGGAAGTTCATCTATAGTGGGGCTCCAGTGAAAATGTGTGTTTGTGAAGTAGTGAAAATAGGACTTTACTGGACAGCTTTGTGTGAGACTTTGTAAACAGATGTTTACATATAGTACAATAACTTCAATCAATTACAACACTTGTCAGGTTTAGTATTCTTTGGATGCTGCAGGGACCTCACACAGCTTTAATGTCACACACTGCAGGTTCCTGATGCTGCCTTCACTAACTGTTCTATCTGTGTCATCTCATCAGTGTTCCTGTGCATGGGGAAACACACTTTAGTGATTGCATTTCCATTCACAGAGCCTAGCAGACTCTCATGTGTCAAATGTGCATGTACATGCTCCGGGTCCAGACTAGGGTAGTGTGTGTGTAACTGTGTCAGTGTCAGAGGGATGGTGTGTGTGTCCTACCTGCTGCGTCTTTCCCTGCAGCGCTCGAGGAGGGGGGACTGGGGGCTCTGCTCCCTGCTGCGCCCAAGGGCAGGAACTGGTGCGGCCTGGGAGCGGGGCCTGCTGGGGGAGGATCCCCCGCTCAGGGAGGAGGAGCACTGGGAGGATACCGACCGCTGCGGGGAGTGAGGCGGAGCAAACGGCCAGGGGCGAGCCCGCTGCTCCTGATGGACCACTGCAGGGGAGAGGAAGTACTGATGAGCAAAGTGTAAAGACTGAACTGTGTGGTGTTTCACAAGTGTCCCTTTATTTCATTTCAATCAAGGTGAATCATCTAAAAACACCTGTCATTGTCAATGTGTTTTTAATGTCACTTCTGCTTGTTCCACTTCCCTCATATTTGACTTGTACACAGAAAAAAAGTATTTTTAGATTGACTGTTTAGGAGAGCTGTCAAAGAGCTTTTGTTATGCAGATATAGTGAACTAGTTGATCTCTATTTGGCATAATAGGAGCAGAGGCAGAGCCTAAATATAAAACAGCACTATTCCTGTCTCATGGTAGAAGGCTAATTATACATAACCTCACCAAATACTATGTAGTGTTTTCATGTTTCTATTTGAAGTATCAATTACAAATTCCGACCACTATATATATTAAAGGGTTATGTCCAGGCAGGATTTGGAAAAACTTGATGTCCAGGCATTGACCTTAAGTAGACTGGACGAAAGTGTCTTTAGGGGTCTTTGACTTGAATGCTTTACTCTCATCTGCTCCATTATGAACCATCCTGAACTCTCAGGTCTTGTGGAACGGTTCTCTGTCCTGTCAGAAGTAAACATGGAGAAGCAGTTCTTTTGCTCCATGTATCTGGAACAAAGCAGAAAGCTGCTTCGCTCACTGATGACATCCAGGCTGAAGACTTTTCTTTTTGCTGCTGCTTTTAATGAAATCAAATAACTCTTCTTACACTGCACTGTACATTGAACTTTTCTATTTTATAGCTGAATTATTCTATTTAGCTTTTTTTTAATGTTATTTTCTTAGCTTTTAATGATTGTTTTTAAAAGTCATTTGATCATTTGTTTCTGTTGAACGATATCTTAATGCTTTTTGCTCTTTTTGATTTGTTGTAAAGCACTTTAAGTTGCCTTGTGTTGTGCTTAATAAATGATCTTGCTTGCCGAGCTAACACATCATTATGATTTGTTCTCAGCTGTTAGTCTGGATCAGAACACTTTTCATACTCCTGACAGAGTCACATGTCTGTCTGTTTACCTTCTCTCTCCATTAAAGAGTAGGGCTTGATCTCTCCGTCCGGCTTTCTTAGGGGAACCTTTCTCAGCTGGGCCACTGTGGAGGAGAACACATTTAGAGTGGGGACAAACACAGAACATGACTGCTCACACTACATACTGTCCTTCACAAGCTTCATTTGAACAGTATTTCCTCTGCCAGTACTGTACAACTACTTCTCAGTGAAGGCTGGAACACACTTCACATATTGCTCTTGAGAGCATTTCAAACTCAGAGCAGACATGTGAGCATGTGCAACATTTCTAGCAGAACTTGAAACAGGACAGACCATCCCTGACAGTATCCTTCAAAACTTCCACAAATTGTAATACCTTATCTAGTCATGTGAAATAGTTGTTCTTGTGCCATGTTATCACATCAGTCTAGGATAACCTGAACATATATTTTGAAATGTAGTTAGTCAAAGTGTAGGAGTGTTTGACACCATTAATGCTAAGCTGACACTCAGGTTCAACCCTCACCCAATAACTAGAATAATCCACAATCTAAGAGCACACATCAATTAGCATAATCATCATGGTTTATTTGGATAAGAGTAAATACACCATCATGTCAAGCAATGAAGCAAGTAAGTCTTGCCAACACGTGTGTTGATGTATTCATGGTCAGTGCACAGCTACATGCAGACAGTATTTCTGGTGAACAAAAGGACACTAACTCTCCTCTCTTTCAGGAGGGTTGTAACTGTGGCCTCCTTTAGAGGGGCCCTGTTATGCTAATGTTCAGGGTCATATTAGAATGTTGTGTCTCTACTGGGACATGTCTCTCTATTCGCCCTTTCTTTTTCTCATACTGCTGCAGCACCTCTTTTCACCCTCTGTCTGAAACCAGAGCCCAGTCTGCTCTGATTGGTTAGCCGGCTGGCTCTGTTATGAAAGGGTCCCAGCCCTATCACGTACAATGTGTTTGAGCGTTAGGCAATAGAAACACGAGTGTAACAGTGATGGCATTATGTTACAGAAGTAAACAAGGGCACTCTTTCCCCCCCCCC